CTTGTGTTTGTTTTTTTTTTGTTGTTGCTTAAATTAATTTATAAACAACAGAAAAATTGCAATATGAGAATTTTTGAAAAGAAAATCATAGTAGTTCCAATACATATATTACTGAATACTGCACAAAAACAGATCTGGTTCTATCAGTCGATCTGATTATCGACCGCTCGTCCTGAAATTCCATCCTGGATGTTTTTCACCCTAACCCATGTTGTTATGATAAGAACATCCAGGGTTGACTCCTTTTACAGGAGTCCCTCGTTTTCTCCCCCCCCCCCCCCTCTCCCCTCTACTGGGTTTTTTTAAATGCACGGTCTGTTCATGACCACTCACTTTTGTGTGGATGCTTTTTCTCCACACACTCTGATGGAGGTCATTTATACGGGTTGGTTTGATTTTCTAATGGCTGGACTGGTTTTCTCTGTTGTACGATCTGTATCACGATACAGGGGCAACAATACGATGTATTGCGATATACTGCAATACTATAGTGATGACGATATATTGAGTTTTTTTTACCCCACTGTAACTGTAGTCAAAGTGTGATCACAGTACAGACTCTGCTGCTGTTCCATCTGAACATCAGGTACTAACACTGGAACAGAGGGATCTACATTTGGAATCACTAGAGGAGAAAGAAAAGAAAATGAACCAACAGGAATATTTGACTGGGGATTGGTGATAAAAAATCAATACACTGATGGAGGAGATTGATACAGTATCAGGAAAGGAAATATCGACATATCGACATATCAATATATTGTGTCGCCCCTTCTATTGTTGTTGTGTTTTAGGTTTCTAGTCCTGTACCAGCGTCTGTCCCAGATACTACGCTGTGTACTTCTCTTCTGTAGTATTTAAGACAGAGAGTATAAAGTACCAACCCCGTCTTACGGCGCCCCCTTGTTTGGATGAAGCTGCTGACAGCTGTTCACCTCTGAACATGTTTCCTGTGACTGAGTCAGCAGTACTGACAACAACAACAGTCAGCAGTACTGACGCTGACAGACGACCACAACAACCGTCCTGTGACCTTCACCATCAGATCCTTACTGTAACTGTACAGTATTTCACAAACCCATTACTCATCATTACCCCAGACCTGTAGTAACCGCAGTATCTCAATTACACACACTTGATGAGTACTACATGAAGGTATTCCTCTGATCCTTCTATATTTCAATGACACGTCAGCAGGTAGTAATCCTCTGTTGGACTGGACCTTGTCATAGCTTTGCTACCACACAGTATACTGTGTATATATATACGGGAATCAATCGGTCGATCGTGGAGAAAAGTTGGAAACGTGAATCGATCGGTCGATCGTGGAGAAAAGTTGGAATCGTGTCTTTAGCCACTTCAAAATTTGATGCAAAACAGGGCGTGGTGTTGTTGTTGATCGAACCATTGAGTCAACATTGATTTCAGGGTCACGTCACCATGGCTACAGGATCGTGTTTGTGATTGGAGGATTAATGTAGGAAGGGTCTGAACTCTGTAATATCTCCAGAAGGGGGAGTTGGTGAGAAGTTGACTTTTCTTAGTATCAGAAAACTTGAAATCTAACGTCAGCAAATCAGCTGAAAAATTCATTTTATTTAAATGTATTATTTTTGAAGTTTTGTTCATACATCAGTACTTTACAGTACAGTACTTCTGAAGTAAATTCACTCATTTTACCTTCAGTGTTGAATAATGGAAATAATCAGTTTGAGTGATTGCACTAATTATAACGGTATGTAGTACTGTTGTATATATTTACAGCATTATTAAAGGGAATGTTCTGGGTTCCTGTCCAAACAGTTCCATGGTGTACCAGGTACGGACCAGGTCAGGGTAACAGGAAGTCCATGTATTGCCTCCACTTCCTGTGTGGATCAATCAAAGCACTAATGGGTTGACAGCCAGTGCTTACTGCCCCGGAGCAGGTGTGCTGCGGGGCTAATTGAAAAATAAGTCAATACTACTGCGCTGGTGCACGCGCTCACACACACACATACACAGTCTACGTGTGTGTGTGTGTGTTTCCCAGTGTGCTCCAGCTAATCCATTCCTCTGCCTCTGTGACGTCTCCCAGTAAATTGTTTATATCCGTTCAGGCTTTACCCGCATGAATAATTTGTTTGTCTTATAAATATTTCAGCGTACACCACTCATTAATATGCACGTACTCCGTCTGTCTTTATGTACTCGGTAACACTGGTACTGCCACTCCCACAGTACTTTATTATCAACGCCGTTGTTGACGTACGATGGTTAGGACCAGATGCTAACACGGAGATGGAGATGAACTGACTGGAGTCTCCTGGTCCATGGTACAGTCGCACCAGCTGAGATTTCACCCCGAGGCACTGGTTCCTGTAGAAATGAGGCGAGGTCAGCACGGAGACGGTGACGACGGAACTGTGCTAATTAGTCTTGAGGACCTGGTTAGGCCCAGAAAGGACCGGTACCAGCACAGATGTACAGACGCAGCGGGTCGGCCTTAGCTCTAACAGACTGAACATCCGCTGCGTCCAACTCACACTCCCAGAATCCCCACCGGTCAGTTGGCTGACCTTCTGTAGACAGCAGGTATAGGTGGGGAGGGGGTAGTGAGTCCGACTGTCAGTGTTGCATCTAAATCAGGGGTTTCAAACATACGGCCCGTGGGTCAAAACTGGCCCACTACAGGGTTCAATCCAGCCCACGAAGATTTTCTAATAAACTTATATTTGTTTTCAGGAAAACAAAGGGGGAAAAATTCACTTATTTTTCTATTATAGTTAATTGTCATGTCATGATTGTACTGGTCCGGCCCACTTACGGCATCTAATCAGGCTGTATTTGACCCCTGAACCAAAATGAGTTCGACATCCGTGATTTAAATAAATCTCAAAGTGATGATGTCATCAAACGTGTACGTTAACCAGTTCAAGCTAATAGAACATTCACTGATATTTACTACTGGTTGAAGGTTCCACAAAATTTACTAGAAATCTTTACTACTGGTTGAAGGTTCCACAAAAAATGGTGTTTTTGGACTCTGTGGTGCGTTCAGTGTCCATGTAGCCGTAGGTTAGTGTTTTGTACTTGTGTTGATCAATAACTGTCCAACAGATTTTTGTTGTCGTCTGTCAGCCAATCATGTCGTCAGCCTATTTACATTACCCACAGTTCCTCAGTGCAGCCTGCAAGACCACCAGAACACATCCATTTATGTATGAGTCAGAAAACAAGATGTTAGCCTCGGAGGAAAGACGATGTTGACGTTGTGTTGCCTTCACTGGAGTTCAGCCAAACACCGAACAGACAACAACAACATTTACAACAATAAAAACACAAAAACACTGACACTGATACCACCGAGGTAAAACGAGAAAAGTGAGAGAGAGGGATCGGGTGATTGGACCAGAGGTTGTTGGCTTTTGTTGGAATGAACAGAGATTATAACCAAGGGTGCGGTTCCATTCCCTGCTGCCTGGCATCGACGTAGTCCGACAACGGAGAGAAATAAAAACAGGAATGAAGCATGAACAGAGGGAAATGCTGTGTTTGTTTTGATGGATTTTCCGCTGTTGATTATTTTATTTGGATTCATTCCATCGTAGAAGTTGCGCTGAAGACTTATGTTGTTCTGGAGACTGAACACCACGACAACGTCAATCTTCGTTTTTGTGGAACAGCTGCGTGGATTTATCTTATCTTTGGGTCTGAAGTGAAAATCGGAAACGAAACAATTTAAAATCTGTAACAAATCTAACCTTCAGTTGGACGTCTGAATTTTCATCTTTGTTTTGGCGACGATGCTAACGAGCCAGCGTTAGCTCGGTGACGGTGCTTTCAATGACCGTCTGTCATTGGCGTTGTTCGCTGCAGAAATAAAGACTAATGTTTTTTGCATTCTGTGTGTTTTTCAAGGTAACAACTCGGCCGCTGTGTAACAGGAAGTGCTGTCTACGAGCAGCCATGAGCCAGAAAGCTGCGCTGCTGCTGCTGCTGCTGCTGCTGCTGACAGCCACACACACTCTCCTCGCAGCCAGCTTCCCAGAGGACGTCGCACCCCTCGATGTCGTTGACGCACACTGTAAGTACACGCACGCAAAGCACCTCCGCAGAGTCGCGGCAGAGATTAGGGCGACAGAGACATCGGCGAAAAGTCGGCGTCTAACCTTTACACGTCCTTATGCACACACCGTCACATCAGCACTTCACACACCGGCCCGTCGTCCAATCAGGCTGCTGCATGGCCACTGCCGCAGCAGTCAGTGAATGTCATTGGAACAGAGGCCGAGGAAATCTGATGTCAAATCCCCGAACGCACACACACGGACACACTCCGTAAACACGGGAGGTCTTCCCACTGAAGCGTCGACACCAAGTGAAGGACAGCGTGTGTGAAGGTCACCGCCGGTGACGACCAGTTTCCCTCTAACTGCACATGTGACTTTTACAGTTTCACGGAAGTACCCGGTGTTCAGGGGCCGGCCCTCTGGCAACGAGTCGCAGCATCGCCTCGACTTTCAGCTGATGACCAAGATACAGGACACGCTGTTCATCGCTGGAAGGTAATCCCCATATATATGCCATGAAGCCCCCCCATCTCTAATGTACACCCCACACACACACACTCACTCATCCCCTGGCAGGTAAACAGTATCACGGAGGAGAGAGTAAAAAGCTCTTAGTGTTATTGGATCTGTGGGGTCCAGCCCACGTCTGGTGGATACGGCCCACATTGATCCAGGAAAGTGCTCCATCAGACTAGAGTGAGAGTCGGACCCAGTGGAGGATTCTGGGTATCTTTAAATATTTTTGCAGTTTATGTGTTGGGGCATTAATCCCATTAATCCCTCAGTCCTAATCTGGTTTCAAACAGGTCATGTTATCCAAAGAGTTTAGTTGTAAGCAACAGGACTTCTTCTAATTCTAGTCCTAAGTCCAAACTAAAACTTTTTTTTTATATCTTATTTTTCATGCCAATAATTTGAATATCAAGACCATTTTCCAGCGCCTGTTGTTCTGTGTAGAACAATGATCTAGAACTCATCTCAGAGCGACTGAAAAAAAAAAAAACCCTTAAATTGAACTTTACCACCGATCTTAAACAACGCCCCCTGGACTGTTGTGATGTAACAGCAGCACCAAGGAGCCTGAGGCTGATGTTCTGAAGGTCCAACCATCCGTCAGTCTCAGTTACACCAGCGTCACCTCCTCACTGGAAACACACGCTCTGTTGTTGTGTGTGACTAAAGTTGTGTGTTTTGTTGTGGTCTGTCCGCAGAGATCAGGTGTACCTCGTCAGCCTGCGAGAATCCTACAGGAATGAGATCATTCCTTACCGGGTAAGGTTCTCGCCACGAGCTGCAGCTCCGACCGCACACTGAGGTTTCCATAGAAAACACGCAGCCATTCATCAGGAGATGGACGGCCTGTAAAATGACACTGGAGCGTGAGTGAACGCACGTGAAGCGTCTACTGTGTCTAATACCACTGTCTGCTGTGTTGGTGTCTTCACAGAAGCTAACATGGCGATCGGGACAGAGCGAGAAGGAGATGTGTGCCGTGAAGGGAAAACACAGAGTACGTACAGAAAACGAACACAACAACGGCATCCCAAGAGCGTAGTTTTCTGTGGCTGCTCACAGACAAATCACAGACGGTGCTCTAAACGCCTCGTTGTTTCATGTCTGTTTCAGGACGAGTGCCACAACTTCATCAAAGTCTTGGTTCCCAGGAACGACGACCTGGTCTTCATCTGTGGGACGAACGGCTTCAACCCAATGTGCAGATACTACAGGGTCAGTGTCCAGTCTGAGCTACAGCGGTCAAACGTTAGCTTTGGTGTCTGTACCAGGCTACTAGCTGTCAGCTGTTGTAGCTAACGTTAGCTAAAACAGCTGACAGCTAGAGTCACAAAAGCAAAATGTCATGGTGGCAAAAATGAGTTTTTGTTCAAACAAACTCCTCCCCCTGCCTCCCCCTCATTGTATTCCTTTTTCCAAACACGTGACAGCTCGTGATTGATTCTCTGCTGACTGTTGTTTGTGTGTTTGTGTTTCTTTTGGCGGCTCGTCTTCACAAACCCTCTTTGATGTGCGCGTGATTGTTTTGGCTTCAGCTGGATAACCTTGAGTTGGATGGAGAAGAGATCAATGGACTGGCACGATGCCCGTTCGACTCCAAGCAAACCAACGTCGCCCTTTTCGCTGGTGAGGGTCACACACATGTCCGCCCACACTGGCAGTGATGTGTTCTCATTATCACCTCGGTGTCTCTGCCTCAGTGAAGTCGGCCTGCAGCGCTCATAACTGGGCCAATTAGACCGTTTAAAAGAAGAAGTACAACGACAGAGTGAAGGGCGGCGTAGCTAACGCTAACTCTGCCTCTTGTTGGTTTTTTCTTCACTTGTAGAAGGGAAGCTGTACTCAGCCACCGTGGCCGACTTCCAGGCCAGTGATTCCGTCATCTATCGCAGCATGGGTGACGGCTCAGCCCTGAGGACCATCAAATACGACTCCAAGTGGCTGAAAGGTAAAAACGTCAACCCCGGGGTCTCCCTCGGCTGTAGGAAACAGTCGAGATGTTTTTGTTAGAAAAACAAACCATTTGCGATGGTGCAGATAAAAAATAAAAATGATTTCCCGTTAAACCTCTGTCTTTAATCCAACTCTGATTTAATTAAAGTCGTTAAGGTAACTCTGGGGTTTCACTGAGTGTCTTCGTTACGTGTCGGCCGGCACCTAGCTAAGTGCTCACGTTAGTTTTCATGGTAAATTTAACGTATATACATATCACTTCCTGGACTAAAACACACTTCACCCACTTCTTCTGGGGTTTGTTCCGTCCCTCTCTGGTAATCTAGGTCAACCCCCGACATATACAGTCTTGTTCCAATCCCTGAAATATTCAACGTGCTCAGTGTTGGTGACGGAGCAGAAACACACTTCATCTCTGTCTCCCTCTCTCACTCTCTCTCCTGCAGAACCTCATTTCCTCCACGCAGCAGAGTACGGAAATTATGTGTACTTTTTCTTCCGGGAGATTGCAGTGGAGCAGAGCAATCTGGGAAAGGTGAGACGGTGTTTTTGTGCTTCACAGGTCTCCATCCAAACAGAAAGGGTTAACCCCCCACCAACACCCACCCACCCACCCACCCCGCCCTCTCTGTGCTAGCTGCTCCTGTAACAGGGCACGCCGGCGATGACTAAAGAATTTTCATCAGGCTGCGTTTTCAGGGAATATTCTGTCAATGTGAAAGCGTCCCACGGTCAGACGCCGTGTCTCCCTCAGAGGCAGAACTCTCCGTTTGTGTTTCAACATTTCTGTGACGAAGTGTCAAATGTGCGATGGCTCGTGTCCGACCTCGGATCTGCCTCGTGACGTCAGTCAGTTTCACCCATCAGCCCCGGCTTCATCAATATTTCAGAGTGACTAATTCTGACGTGACATCTGTCCTTTAATAGAGCTTTGCGTTAGTGAATTATTAAACCTGAGCTGGTGAGCGTCTGCTGCTTCACTGACGACACGATGTGGAAGAGATACTGAAAAAATAGAAATATTTACAATGACGCGCGGAATCACTGACTGGACGAGTGAAGGACATTAAACTGCTCAGTCCGTCCATCGTCCACTTTTAACTCAAGGACAAGGACTTTTAAAGACGTAAATCTTACTCGTAAAATCTGAGCATCGTCGCTGATTTATCGACAAAGAGACAATTTAAAAATTGACCTCTGGTACTTGTGATTAGTTCCTTAATATTTTTATCAAACAATATTTGAGACGGTTCTTCAATCATAAAGCCTAACAGTGGGTTCTTGACAAAAATCATCTTCTTCTGGCAATATTTGAGACGGTTCCTCAATCATAAAGCCTAACAGTGTGTTCTTGACAAAAATCATCTTCTTCTGGCTGGCAAATAACCTTTACGCACATTACCGCCACCTACTGGGCTGGAGCAGCAGTAATGTTAAAATGTCTAAATAAGTTCCAGCTCAGGTTAATGCATACACGTAAACCCATGTGGGCCAGACGTGAGTCTTCCGGGACACGAGGACTGTTTGGTGGACGGTCAGAGCCAAGTAGCTACAGGAAGGATGTATACATTATTCAACGTTTTTAAAAAGTTTCAGTCATGCTCTTCCATTTGCCCTCGGCTCCTCTCAGGTTGTTTACTCCCGCGTGGCTCGGATCTGTAAGAACGACGTTGGGGGGTCACAGCGGGTCCTTGAGAAGCACTGGACGTCCTTTGTGAAGGCCCGGTTGAACTGCTCGGTGCCTGGAGAGTCCTTCTTCTACTTCGACGTGCTCCAGTCTATCACTGACATCATCAACATCAACGGCGTTCCTTCAGTGGTGGGGGTGTTCACCACGCAGATGAACAGGTGAGGCACGGCTGCCCGGGGGGACGATGGGGGGGTCACAGTTCAAACAGGTGCGTGACATGTGTCTGGTCTCTGCAGCATCCCAGGGTCGGCGGTGTGCGCCTTCTCCATGGACCAGATCGAGAAAGCCTTCATGGGCCGCTTCAAAGAACAGAAGACGCCCGATTCTGTGTGGACGCCATACCCAGAGGAGAAGCTGCCCAAACCACGGTACCTGCTCCATGTTTTTATTACATTTTGTCTGTGTCAAATGGAACTGAAGGACCGGGAACTTTTTAATCCTGAACCTGAACAAATCGGGGCCTGATCCATGCAGTTAGAACCAAACGAGCAACCATTAAATATTCAGGTCGATTTGGAGTTACGACACAAGAAAGGTGCCTACGTGTTCTCACTGTTTACACATCTAAACAGGGGTTAGGGTTAGCAAAAAGGTCACCCATTAGTCCTGGTGTGCTGACGGGGCGGGGGGGGGGTTGTTCTTATGCATATTGGAGATTAGATTATTTATTCACCCTTTACTGAGCCTAAGCGTGAATGTTGGTGTGAATGACTCGCTCTTTTTGACCCTAAACAGACTGAAAGAACGGTTGAATTAAGAGTCGAGAATCAACTCTGTCACATTCTTGGAACGAACACCGGAGTCCCTGAGAAAACCCGTGTCCACATGGGGGGGGCATGCAAACTCCACAAAAGACGTTGTCTGGTCTCGTCAGGAAACAAAGCAGCGTCACAAACATCCCACAGCTCCACTGCAGCCCAGAAGAAAAGAACTTTCAGATGTGAAACATGAAACTATTTCAGCTCGCTGTCGTCGTTCGTCGACACTTTCTCTTTTTGTTAGCCGTCCATAATGAAGCCTAGGATGTCACATATCTGAGCCTGAGAGCAGCGCTCACTTTGACCCAGTGCTCGTTCACCATCTGCTAATGAATTAATAATTAACATGGCATAATTAGACACTTTGCATATTTAAATTGTGTACAGTCAGCGCATATATTAGCGACCGTCGCCTTTGTCCAAAACACCAGAGAAGCAGCTCATTAGCTCAGTGAATCATTGATGTGGGGGGAGTGGTGTACCCTGGGTTTCCAGCTGAGGCCTCTCTGTGGGCTGCACCTGCCCCTGCCACTTCCTGCCCTGCTTTTACCTTCCTCTGTCTACATTAATGTGACTGTTGTGTACGTGTGAGGGCAGATTTCTGACCTTTGACCCTATTGATGTGTCCTTGATCCTAGACCCGGGAGCTGTGCAGGTCACGGTCCAGCTGCTTCCTATAAAAGCTCCATCGAGTTCCCTGACGACACCCTGCAGTTCATCAAGTCCCACCCACTGATGGACGCAGCTGTGCCTTCCATCAGGGACGAGCCCTGGTTCACCCAGACCCGTGTCAGGTACGAAGCAGGACACAGACGTTTGATGTTTGTCCACAAAAAAAAGTCCTCGAAAAGAAGTTCTGTCACAACACAGCACAGTGCAAAAGTCTTAGGCCAGTGCAGTGGTTTCTGAACCTAACAAATCAATGCAGTTTTCCCTACGGACACATAAATCAGAAAAAATGATCTGCCCTGCTGCGCCCCCCCTAAGGGCACCCCACCCCCACTTTGGGAACACCTGGGCTATTGGATACATTTACTTGGCCTTTTTTGCAGCTTTATCATTCGAAGTATAAAAAGACAAACATAGAAGCTAACTGTTGTGGTAAATATCTGGTTGGCAGCCCTGGGCGGGGCCACACCCTAAATGACATCAAAGTTATAGAGTATGCAGCTAGTCAGGGGTGTAACCTTTGACCTCTCAGAACTAGTCAACAGTCAACATTACTAACTCGTCTCTGCTAACGTTGCTAATTCCTGTACCATGTGACCGTCTGCTGTGCGTACAGGTACAGGCTGACGGCGCTAGCAGTCGACAACGAAGCAGGACCCCAGAAGAACTACACCGTGATGTTCATCGGTTCTGAGTCCGGAGTGGTCCTCAAGGTTCTGGCCAAGACCACGTTTGTGTCCCTGAATGACAGCGTGCTCCTGGAGGAGATCGACGTCTTCAATAAGGCAAAGTAAGGACACGTCCTGTCTCACCGGCGCCCTCTATGTCAAATATATTTTTATGTCTTTTGGGGAATTTATGTACAAATAACATTAAAAAAATCCATTCAAAGGCGATGTTTCATTGTCCCGTCTGTCTTCCTCTCAGGTGTCTGTCCAACCATGATGATGACAAGCGCGTTCTGTCGCTGCACGTGGACAAAGACGCTCACAGTCTGTACGTGGCCTTTTCAAGCTGCGTCATCAGAATTCCCCTAAGTCGCTGTGAGAGACACTCGTCCTGTCACAGGTGAGTCAGACGCCTGACACTGAATCACTGAATCACAGCGTCTTCATGGCCGCTGGTCAAAGGTGTGAGTACCGATAACAGGAGCGTGGTTAATGTTTAGTTCCGTCCCCGGTGTTCCTGCAGAGTCTGTCATTATTTAACCTGATGTTCTGGTCCAGGTCCTGCGTCGCCTCGAGGGATCCTTACTGTGGCTGGAAGTCTGGGGCCTGTGAGAGGATACAGCCCGGTGTTACGTAAGTTCCTGATGTACAGGAGGACTGGAACTGTTTTGTCCTTTTAAAATAATGACCTTCATGAATGAAGTTATTTCTCTGAATCTCCACTTGAGTCTAAACTGTGGGGTCTTTGACTCCAGGTCATGACCTTCCCCTCTGTCTGGTCTCAGGAATGAAATCCAGTTCCTGTGAAAATCCTTCCAGTACTGTTTGAATGTCATCTGTCGTCTTTTCCCTGCCATGAAAACAATTTAAGACAAAACCTAACGACAGTGAATATCAACTGGTGGCCCGCGGGCTGCATCTGGCCTGCCAAACTGTCTAATCCGGCCAATGAACTGGATTTCAAGATAAATTAAAGAGAAAGAAGAAAGAAGAAAGAAAAAGAAAAGGAAATAAAATTCCAAATCAGCAGCACAAAAAAAAAGTTTTTAAATTGAAATGAATGCTGTGTCTCTTTGGGGGGGCCGCCCCTCAATTTTGGAACCACTACAAGCAAGTGACAGCGAACAAAGTCAGTCATTGTTATTGGTGTGGTTAATGTTCTGGTTCTGTGTCCTCAGGTCTGGGTACGAGCAGGACGTGGAGTCTGGAGACACCTCCCACCTGGCCGACTGTCCTGGTACTTAACATTTACTTTGTTCATTCAATGCCATCTGCTCTCACACACACACACACACACAAAGATGCCGACACAGTGACACACTTAACACCAACCCATTTGTCACTTACACACTGAGCCTGTACACTCACACAGGTAACTACTACAGTACTCCCCCCCCCCCACTCCCGTGCACATATTCCTGTGCAGTACACCAAATACCTGCACCACAAAACCTGCCTGAATACTAATCCTGGACGTGTACCGAGGAGGGTCCTGCTCAGCTGGTGCCAACACACTGTCGGACTAGTACTGATGGTGACTGGTACCGACTGAACATGACCCGGGATTAACCTGTGTACTAATCAGAACCAGAGGCTTCCACATCAACCAGCTAGAAATGACACTGAGTCAGTGAGTGACATCACTTCCTGTTGTTGAAATTCGGGATGGTCCGACAATGTGGTCCGTCGCATCGACATCAGTTACAGCGTGAGTGACTGTGGATTAACCTAGCGCTGTGGTCATGTATCGTTATTGTAATATATAATGATAACTGTGAAAATATTGTTAATAATTATGTCCGATATGAACTATTTGCTAATGCATGTTTGGCGAAGCCCAGGCATTGCTAATAATTATTACATAATTATGCTACTATCGGGAAGATAATATCGGTCGGACGATTTTATCGGACATCCGTATTAATAATGAAAATAATAACAATGACAAAAAGAATCCTTTTGCTAGTGATAATAATAAATATTTTAAATCGTTTACGTAGCACTTTCTAAAAGCGTAGATTTACAAAGTGCTTGACAACACATAAAAAATACCAGAGGAGAAACAATTCAAATCCAGGCTGCAGTTAAAACAGATCAAATACATGAATCCACAGTGAGACGTGTCTAATCTTCTCTGTTTTTCTTCTGTTATGTGAAGTTATAAAAGTGCATTTCACTCCAGATATATTCCGGTCTTTTCTCTGTGGGCCACAGTCAGAGGGAGGTCTTTTATACACATTAATTATAATTTCATCTCTGCAGGAAGTTTGACTTTCCTGTTTGAATTTGAATGTCCTGTTTGTCCAATCAGAAGGCAGTAAAATCTGTGAGCGTTTAAATTCAAAGCAGTGTTTTATTACCGTTTTATTCCTTCCTCCAGGGGAGCAAATATTTGTTTCACAGTTTGAACACCTTGGCAGTTTGAACACTTTGGCCTTTTTTTACAGTGTCTTTATTAAGCACACACACGCCTAAATAAGGTGAACGTTAACAATGTAAGATAAGATAAGGTAGCTGCAGTGCTGGTATCGTTTGTGTATCGGACCATCCCCAGTTGAAACTCAGTGATGTGCACTCGGAGTGTCTCTTTCTTATGTTTTGTTTGAGTTTTTTTTATTCTTATTCTTCTTATTATTATTTTCAAAGGTTCCTTTGTGCTGATTTCTTGTCCTTTGAATTCTTTTAGCGTTTTTGGGCACTACCTCAGCACCAGGTTACAAATCATTTGACGACCCCACCTCTGGTTAGTTTGATCTTTTACTCAAATGGTTTCCTACCCTTAGTTCAGCATCTCCAACCTCCTCCTTCCATCCATCCATCCGTCCTCTCTGTCCCCGACACCCCTCCCTGGAATGCTAACGTCACCTGGTCCATTTTTATGGTGGTGAGAGGCAGTGGCTCCAGGCGACATCAGTCATCTATCTCAGCACCGACTCACTTCCTCTGTTTCATTCATCACTTCTTCTCTCCTGACCTCTTGCATGCCCCACCAACACCTCATGACATCACTAGTGTTGTGTACCAACTCCTAGTTGTAGTACTACTACCTAACGTCCTCATCAGAACTTCTGAACCTCGAGCCAAAGTTCTGCCCGTGGTCTGTACCTCTGAGATGATTCTCTGTTTGTTAACTATTTGTTTGTCACCACAGACATGGAGTTGTCATCTGCGCCCGTCACTACCACCCAGCACAGTGGGCCCATACACCCCCCACTTCACAATCCCACTCAGGGTCCTAGTTCTGGACCCGGTCCAGAGCACTACGGCTCAGGTTCTGTGCTGCAGGATGACCCAGCAACCTCCTATTCTTTAGACTCTATCCCAGGGGGTCATGAGGGTAAGGCCCACGGGGGAGGCAGCCAGAGCACTGTGTTCAGCCAGAACTATTGAGTACTTACTAAAATCAGTTACAAATGCATTGAGTTCCTTTTCCAAAATTCAGGACTTGGACCGATGCACACGGCAGACGTTCATTTGTTATAGATATTTTGGTAGATTAATGTATTCTCAATATTATTTGTGAGGCAGAGATGTTCAAACTTTGATTTGAGTGAAGGTCAAAACTGAAAAACAAATATTAAATATTGTTACTTTCTTTTTAATTGTCCTTAGAACTTGTTAAGTTAAAGAGTTAAAGTTAAAGGTGAAAGAAACATCAGTTTTTTGGTAGCCATCAAGTTGAAGATAATAAAGAAATACATATATTATCATTAGTTTGTATTATAAAACGTATATATTTATACTTAAAAGTATAAATAAACAAATACTATTGCTAGTTTTATAAGTGTTTTAGGAACAGAAATAAAAGAATGTTTTTTGGTCAACAGTTAGTTGTTAACAGGTAGTTTAACAGCCTGAATTAAAACATTTAAAAAATATATATTATCAAATGATATTTATTAAACGATACTTTAAAATTAAGTAAACTTCAAAAAAAAGATCTTCAGAGAGAATGAAAAATAACCATATGGTCATAAACCACATTTGAATGTCACCTCTGACCTTTGAGCACAGACTTTGAACCTCCCTGCTGTATATGATTCTTTATCTTCTGTTACTATTGTTTCTTTTTTCTTCTGTTCCTTCTCTTCAGTTATTCATTCACTCTCACTCTTTAGCTCGTTGACTCTTCTATCGCCCCCTCTCTTCCAAAATAAAGTTTAACTACAAACACAATAACACTTCCTGCTGGCTGGTAGATGATTGACTGGGCTCCTCTGCCACACCACTCTGTGGCCCCACATTAAATCACTAACTCTTTCAATGTCTGTGGTTACTAACAAAGTCTCTGAAAAGCTGCGATCTCAACACCTGGACGAGCGCTTCTTCTCACTCTGACCGACTTCCTCCTGTCTAATCCCCCGTCTGAAAAGACGACCTGATGCTTGAACTCTCGATTTCCGTAAACAAGTCTGAACTAATATTGCATCGCTTTTCATTGAAGGTGAATTGGATGTGGGTACCTAACAACTTCTCACCATTCTCTGCCTCTTCATCTCAGTGTCTTTGGATTCTTGGCTGTTGGCGACTGATTACAGTTAGTGGGGCTGAGGTTGAAGGAGAATCTGATGCATGGTCAGGTTTAGAGCTAGCGTGCACATCTGTGCTCGTGACTAGGGCAGGGCGCTTCAAGAGGCACCTGGGCTTCAGTCATCAGGGGATTAACCTGAGCCTTTATTGTTTTCTAGGTGTGTGGGAGAACCAAGCAGGTGAGACCAACCAGCTGGTCCACATGAACATCCTCATCACCTGCGTCTTCGCTGCTTTTCTTGTGGGCGCGCTGCTGGCCGGGTTTGTTGTGTTCTGCTTTCGAGGGTCATTCCTTCACAAACCACGACCGCAGGTCCACAAGGATGCTGAGACGGCCCCGTCCTGCTCTAACTCGGCGGGAAGCTTTGTGAAGCTCAATGGCCTCTTTGATAGCCCTGTAAAGGTACGGCCATAAAAACTGCTCAAGTGCTGCTTAAAAGTCTCATAAAAAGTCTAAGTGCCATCGTTAGAAAAAAATGTTAACTGTTTCTATTCTTATCCTTGTATTTTGCGGCGGCGTTCTTAGGAGTACCAGAGCGACATTGATTCTCCAAAGCTGTACACCAATCTGTTGAGCAGCGGGAAAGACCTGAACACGCCCAGCTGTGACACAAAGACCGTCATACTGCGGGAAGGCTGTCAGCCCCCTGAGCTGGCGGCCCTGCCCACCCCTGAGTCCACACCTGAGCTTCAGCAGAAAGGCCTTCAGCCCATCAAAAACCAGTGGGAGAGGCCGCAGGGAAAGGACAGCAGGCCTCACAAGGAATCCAACTCATCGGCAACAGCCAAGAGTCCGCAGTTCCTCACCACCTCCCCCACCCTCCCAAATACCACTTCCCACTACTCTCACCATGCTCTGGGACACTCCCACATTCCTAGTGCAGTTGTCCTACCCAATGCAACGCACGACAACCCCGGCCACGACAATGGAGAGGAAACGTTACCACATGGATCTAAAAGGAAACTGAAGAACTCAGAACCGTGGGGAACCAAGAAAGACCAGAAGAGGTCTGTGGACGCCAGGAATACTCTCAACGACCTTTTAAAACACCTCAGTGACTCGGTGGCCAACCCACAGGCCATTCTTCAGGAGGGTCCAGGACCCCAGCTGAGGCCACATCTTACACTGGAGCCCATGGAGGAACTGACTGAAGTGCCCCCCCAGGTGCCCAGTCGTGAGGCATCTCTATACTCTCCCTCCTCCTCCCTGCCAAGGCACAGCCCTACCAAGAGGGTCGATGTACCGCTGCCCAGCACCCCCACCTCGCCAACAGGCAGCCTTAGCATAGGAGGGACACTGGAAAGACAGAGAGGGGGCTACCAGCTGCACCGTAGTGCATCTCACAGGCAGTCCCTGTCCACCTCACCCAACGGGGTAACTATGGGGGTTTCTCTGTCACGGCAACACAGTATGAACAGGGGTGGCTACATGCCCCCAACACCCCCCTCTAGACACGACTCTCATGGCGGAGGGATGGGGCCGGGGATGCACTCGCCCCACCCTTCGTCGTTATCAAGACAGAGCAGCTACAGTGGGCATGGCTCACTCCCCCGCACTGGGCTTAAAAGGACTATTTCACTAAAGCCCGACGTGCCCCCCAAACCTAATGCTTTCTCCCCACAGACTCCACAGATGAGAGTGGTCAACAAGTACAGCTACTGAGAGCACGGACACTCTCCGCTCTACAGCTCTGACTCACGTGGCCTTGGGGGTGGGGGCTACTTGTTGATGGGGTGAGGCCTAGTGTGTGTGCGTACTAACTCGAGGTGTGTTTCCCCTTTAAGTGGTATGCACAGTCACACGAGCTGAAAAGGGAAAATCACATGTGGCCAAAGATGCTCCTCTGGTTTCTGTTTGATCTCCATCGCCGTCAAAGTAGCCACAACATAGAAGCAGTGGTTTGTGAGGAATCTCCCACTGCCTGTTTGTCTCGGCGTGAGTGACGCCTGTTCCCTACAAGGTACAAGGCTTAGGATACCTGCAGGGACTGCTACGATGCCAATGCATGTGGTACCACTTCAAAAAAAAGTGGAATACTTGAAGTATGGGTGTCATTTTTCACTGCCCTAGAGCACTGTCTTCCCACTAATGTGAACGCAACAGGACAGAGGTAAAGATAGACGTTTGCCTTCGCGCTGGGCAGAGGGGG